TAAATATGTACTGTACATTAACTATATAATGTTGCAGGCGGAATGTAAGATACATGTGGGATGACCTGCTGCCACTATGGCATTGTCGTAGCCAGTGGTCTAGTAGGGGAGGGGTTCTGGGGGACTTAGGCCACCCCCCTCCACCAGTTTAGGACAATTTTGGAGAAAAGGGACAAAACTACCTGGGGGTGTGTGTGGAGGGGTGACACCCCCTGTCTCTATCTCATCGGGTATACCCATACAATTTAGTCGGGCAAATTTTGAAAATATTTGAGTGTCTCAGATTGAAGAGTAATAGTGGTAGGAAAAAGTGGTAGTGAAAAATGCTCCCCGCTCACCAACAATTTTGGGAAAAGAAATATTAATTAGCGATTGATCAAATGTTCGTCCCTCAGGAGTGACTTTGGAAACAACCCTTTTGGTCAGGCAAAACAAGTTAACCTCACCCCCCCACCCCCCAGCCATAATACAGAAGTTTTGCCCCTGTTGGAGAGCCCCCTTGTTAACATTCCAGGACTACACCACTAGTCGTAGCCATACTGACATTGTTAGCATATATAATTTCAGCACATCAAATTGTATGCTCTTACTGCAGTAGCAGATACTTTTGGTGGGAAGGCATTCGGTTGCCACAACATGAACACCTTATGGTGCTCTAAATCTCAGTCCTTTAAATTTTACCTCAAAATTCTGGCAATTTATAGCTTATTTTATTCCCAACCTATGCTTTCATGGATGCTCTATCATCCAAAGGCTTTCAGAAATGGGAGAGTGGTTTGCACCCTACACTGCTGTCCTGTTTATTTTCTGTTAAGCCCCAAGCTGGCCAAGCAGCTTATTTATTTCAGGCATGGAGTCTAGAAACTATAGCTTGTAATCTCAATTTGAGAGGATGTGGAGGGCTTAAATTAACAGTAGGTTTGTTATAAAATTCGAGATAAAATTATTACTTTCATCGAATATTCCACTACTATAATATGGCCTTGATGTATTTGTAACAGATCCATAGCTCACATAATTTAATACTTTCATATATTTATAAAGTTACAAGAATATTATGGTATACTCAAAAGTAGAGTATTATATCCACACAAAAATTCAATGCTGGCTATTTCCAAACGGCAAACACAGGTCCAGAACAAGCCAAAATCCCAACACTGGCGATCACTAGCGCAATTGAATTGAAGTAAATATTTTGTTACATCATATCGGTAATTTACTGATATAAACAAACAAAAAGTATTTGCCATAATACAAGATACAAAAGTGTACAGATCGTACGTATAAATCCTCAATCAGATTAAATGTAAGTAATGTAACAATTAACTTGTATTTGAAATCTTGCAAATAAATGCAATTTCGACTTTGTTTACGTCGTATTCGTGAATTTTCACGTGTAATTCCCGCACTTGAACACCAATTTCCGGTATCGGTGTTATTGATCTCACGCCAGCCAATGAAATTGATAATTTCATCCCGTTTCTCCAGAGTCATGCCCAGCACCTAACCTGCAAACGGGCATACTCTGGGTACGAGATTGTGTTGGCTGTTGCAATATTCCAAACTTCATTTAAAATTTTCCTAACTTCCTGTTTTAATTTCCTAACTTCCTGTTCTGTTCTGAGCGTTGTTATTGGTCGATTATTTTTGTTAGCCAATTGCAACGCCCAGAACAGAACAGGAAGTTAGGAACTTGTAACAGGAAGTTAAGAACTTCTAACAGGAACTGAGGAAAATTTTTTTGGCTTTTAGCAACATTGCAAATTCCCTCAAGGGATTTGCAAGGGAGTTTTTTAAATTGCAAAACTAATGAGGAAAATTGCAATCAATTTAGAAACTCAAAAGAGGAACGCTTCACGTAGTTTACCTATAATACTTATTAGAAAATGAACTTGCAATAAACTATATGATGTGCTTTATTGATTTAAAAATTTTATGGAGATATACTGTATGAAGCAGTAAAAATAATTTTGTATGCCAGTAAAATTTAAATTTCTTAGGAGAGGCTTTGACCAATCAGGGAGATTCTTTTGTGAATACCCACCAATCAGAAGTCTGTATTTGAATGTTTCATGTTTAGGGCGGGTCATACCAGTATTTCGCCGTTGCCTCGTGTTAACGAAGTCCTCGCCTGACCAAGACCAAGATACGACGTTAAAATACAGTAAAGAAGCACAAAATCCGAAGTTAAAGACAGGATTAACGTATGTTCTAACAACTTAACAAAGGATGAAAAAGGTGAGAAAATTTTGAAATTTTTCTGAGGTGTTTTTAATCGAGACTTTGTCTTTGACAACCGTCGACCGACATTTTCAAACGCAAAGTGTGATGACAAAATACAAATATTCAGAGCACTGGAAGTTATTAAAAGGAGATGAACGATTTGAATATTCATCGGGTACGAATCCTAATTCAAATTCCTTTTGTTCTGTTGAGAAAATAACGGATTTGTGGCGAAAATATTCAATATTGTGCGCGCTGTAAATTGTAAATTGCTGTAAATTGTCAGACAGCCTGTTGCTTTTGAAATCTGACTCCAAAAACCAGTTTCTTATTTTAGTTTGAAATAAGTCTTTTAGAAGGACCAATTGTATAAATATATAATTTCAAACTTGTATGCTCAAATAAAATGAATAGTCTAGTATTTAGGCATTTTAGATTGCTGTAAAAGAGTGAAATAAGGTCTTTCATCTTTGGTTGTTTGTCAGACGCGCGTAAAGCCCGTAAACACATGGGACACCTTGTTGCGGTGATGCAGTTTTATTTCACAAAATAACAAAGTATCCTACGACTATAGATACTATTAAATGAGCTCTACTATAGTAAAGTAATACCATGATAAATAAGTGAACAATGAGTCAAACGAACGACTAAATTACAATTTTGGAAAGTACATTATGTACTAGATAAAACATGCATGAGCAGCCGATCTGTATCTGACATACAAACTCGAGCCGAAGGCGAGAGTTTGTATATCAGATACAGATCGGATGCGAAAAACAAACTGTCTAAGCCGAGAAAATCAAAGCTGAAGTTTATGTAAATCAGGACAAATCTTTATCCGATTTACGAACATTGATTAATTAAACATTCATTTCTTTTGTATTTTCCTCATGAATTATTAATGAATTTTAAAAGTAATAAATATATGTATGGTCAAGATCTTGTCTTGTGTCCAATGTCCATCCGATCTGTGGGTCATTCCATTTAATATACCCCCCCCCCTCCCCCCTATGGACGAGAATTTCTGAGGGGGTTTGAAAAAGCTGTTTTGATCTTTGCATTTTTTCTGGTAAGGCAAAAATTTCTTATAATTCGGGGGGGGGGGGGGTGTTTGCGTCAGCACTTCAATATTTTTTTGGATGGGTTCAAATTTTATTGAACTTCGGTCAAACCAAGATTTTGTATTGTGCACACATGTCCATGTGCTCAAGATTTTTCAAGCTTTTATAATACTGATGCAAGACTTAGAGATTGAAAATATTTGGAAAAATTCAGGTAAGTCTGGCTCTATAACTATATATGTCTTTCTTCCAAAATACATCAAGACGATGCTTTTTAGTGTTCAATCTTGAGGCAATGAATTTATTATGAGTTTATTTATATTTTTTGATCAAATTTGGTCAAAAACAATATTGAATAATGTCTTATTACAATGAGACAAAATGTATATACTTGCAAGCTCTGGATATAATGGCTTTGTTGTTTTATCTAACCAATCAATTCAAAACATCAACACCCCCCCCCCCCCCCCCCCCCCCCCCC